CACACAGTGAGTGGGCTGGGCTTGCTCAGTTAAGCCACCACTACAGATGGCTAGACGATGTGACGCCTGAGAAACGAGGCGTGGCAGGTGAACATGTAAATATTTCTTAGGAGGCGAGTAAAATTTGACACTGCTTCTCATGTCAGTGGCATAGGTATGAAAATTCAGTCCTGATGTACACGTAGTCACTATTCAAACCAACTGTATCGTACAAACATTTCGTTACATGCAATAACATTTTGTGAATGGTGACGAAGACGAAAGTATGCAGCCGCAGAGGATGAGAGCGGTACAGGTAGGTGACTATGAGTTCAATCGTTCGGAAACACGTGGTAGTGAATTGATATCTGCTCTCGGATGACGCTGCTGCAGTTAACACGCCGAGTAAGTGTAAAATTCCGGATAACAGACCAACCCAGTTCTACCCCCGATCCTGTTCGTTTATTACATGTGGCCGAGATGTCAAGTTAGGTGAATGAATATTGCTAAAAGTGGTGATAGTGGCACCGTGGTTATTTAATCAAAGTTATGCCTTCAACTAACCGTGACAAAGCGTCCGCGTAGCGGGCGCCACGTCTCCCTCTTAGTAAGCTCGTAACCAGTCCCTCCGTCAATCGGTCACACCCCTCTCCAACTGCCTCAACCGCTTTGTTGGCATCTTTTTCGTGATCAGTCCTGTACAATTCTCACCCATCAAATCGACTCCTACCTATAATTCTGACTCCAAACTACTTTCTCAACATTACAAAAATAGCACTGTCCACGTAATTTCAATATCAAATTTAATTGAATTGCAAAATAATCTCATTTGGAAATTAGTTTTACACATTTTAATGATACTAATTTGTGTGTAAGTATTTTTACCATTTGTGACCATTTGGAAATTAATGGGTTTATTTGAGCTGGCCGACGATAAAATCACAAGCCTATAAGTTTGTCGTGGTGGTAGAATATAGTCATGTGACGGTGAACTACAATAAACAACCTGTAAAGAAGTAAACGTACAGCAAGGTAGTAAAGGATTAATAGCCAAGGCTATCTATCACCAAGTGTCTATTTCATTGGCCACAAAGAAACTATGCAGTTCATTAAACTGTATCGTGTTGAGGTTGCTGGAATTTTAAAAACCAGATATCGGATAATATACTGCTGGTAATATCCAATACAAATCAATCAATATTCCAAACAATGAAACTGGTCGCTAAAATAGGAAGTATTTGGCGTACCAAAATTAATCTGTATTGCAATTGAGTCTCATTGAAACTGTTTTGTGTTTACAACATTGGAAACGTCATACACGAAATAGTCTTGGTGAGACTAACTGCAGTTACCACTGTCCTGTCCTGTAAACTCTCGCGGAATCCTGCGGCAACGGCCGCGCCCCTATATGCCTTACCTTGTTACTGGCATTGACCATCATTAGGGCGCGCTAGGTTATGCAATGGTAAGCTTTGTAGTGAACCTAGGGCTCACTAGTTAGCTTACACGTGTGCGCACGTGTAGGAGGAAGCGTAGGTGTTCCTAGGTTGTATAGCGTACACACGCATCGTGTGTACGGTAAGACAAGATAGGAGCTAGATAGCGAAAAACGAGAACTGTTATTGTTGTTTAAAGTGTTTCCTTCTTAAACGGATTATCAAATATCTAAGGGACTGTCAGCGAGTGGCTGACAGTGATCCGCGTCGCTGATTGGAAGAGGTATGACGCACTCTACCAGTAGGATCCCTTCAAATGCAGTCTTGGCGTGTGAACACAACACGTCAATCCAAGCCTTGATGAGTACGTCAAGCCTCCGAGAGAACGCCGCTCTCATTTCGCAATGAACGCGCCTCCGCGAACGCCAGTGTCTTCGCCAGTGTCCGCGGCGACCTCCGCGTCGCCTGTGTCGACGGCAGCGCTGACACCCCTAAGTGGCACGACAGCGAAGAACTTCACTGTCGCCAAGTACGTCGAGCTCCAAGAGAAGAAGCTGGAGCTCGAGGGGAAGAAGTGCGCTGAGGCCGCGAAGACAGCCAGTCCAAAGACTGTCTTCGATGGTTCGTCGGTCCTCTCGACCGACGGTGGTATCTCCGAGGAGGGACAGCTCGAAGACGAGGGTACCTCGTCTTCCCCGTCACGTGATTCCGAGCCTGTGGCTGGGACTCGCCGACCCCGTGAAGCTGATTCGGACGCTTCAGCTTCGAAGCGCCCGCAAAGTTTTAGTGATGCAGTGTCTGCCACACTGGAAGCACTTGCCATCACCTCGGACCCAGCTGTTGTTCCGTCGGAGCAACGTGATGCCCTGCGCACTGACGACTCAGTGCGCGAACCTTGGATGCCGTCTGAGAGTGTTATCACAGCAAGGTACAGGCGCACGGTTCCTCCGAACGTAATATCATTGTACGTCGACAGTCGAATTGTCGACGACGCTGAAGCTGCGTCGAAGCACATTGAGCCAATGACGGATCAAAGGCGAGGTCATCATATCTCGCATTTTTACGAGCCCTGGTACTGGAACTCGAAGAAGACTTCGGGTTGAAGCAGAGTGCCCGAGTGGCAGGCACTCTGTCAAAGCTGGAATCAATTTGTTGAAAACTTCAACAAAGACACGACTGCTTATCGCGATCGGGTCGCTTCAGCTCGTTAGCGCTTGATGAAGTACTGCGTTACTTCTGTTGTCCAACGCGTTCACGAAGGTTCCGTGAACGCAAATATTCCGTGTGCAGTGCCAGTCGGAATCCATTGCCTGCACTGTCCTCCTGGAGCTCCCCGGATCAGCGAGAGAGTCATCACCGGGTACACGGCTAACCGTGTACCTGCATACGTTAAGGAGCTACGTGCTAAACACGCTTGCACGCATCAGCATCCTAGTGTTGTGCCTGAGCACAACACTCCGCGAAACACTGCGCCCAGCAGTGTTACGCCTCCAGTCCATGGTGGGCTTCGTACCCCCTCACCATTTCCGGAACGTCCGTCATCAGGACGTTTCGGGGAAACCACGTATCTCGAAGGAGACCCGATTGTCTCCAACGAATACGAAAACGAACCGGACCTCGCTTCGTCTTCGAACTGGTATGGTCTACAATCCGATCCACCTAGCGGTGGATCGTACCCCGGACAGAGTTATGCTTCTGTCGGCGGTGCCGGACGCTCATCATATGGTCAACCCCAGGTTGACGACAGTCTTCAGTCGCTCCACGCTCGCGGAGAGCGTTCAGGCTGCTCAGATCGCTGAGCTGAAGCAGCAGCTGAACGTACAGAAGGCTTACGTGGCCGAAGCCGCTCGGACCATCTTAAACATCCGTGTTGAGATGTCGAAACAAGTTCGCCTTCTCCGGGAGAAGGTGAAGAAGCTTGACGAGAAGCTCAAGTTGCGCCGCGCGTCATCGTCAGCGAGTCATCACAACGAGATGGATCGAGCTGCACGTAGGGCTTCTAGCGCCCAACGTAGAACGTTGGGTGGTGTCTCACGTCGGAAGGTAGTTCCAACGTTTATGCACTGCCGTGTCGTTCTGCCTCCGTGAACGGTCCAATGAAGCGCGGAGCAAGCAAGCTTGCGCCGAATCCAGAAACGGCCTGTGTATGCAGGTTTTGAGTAGATAATAAAACCAATGAACCAACTTTGAATTCATTTGTGTTTCCCCTGCCCACATTGTCTGCGTCCAGCATCTGCCTCTCCGCAGAAGCTTCAATTGCATCTTGTACAAATCGAACGACTGCTTGTCGTTCCTAGACAAAGTTCATTGCTTGGGAGCTGAACACTGGGTCCAACTCATTGACCTTGTCCGCGTCTGTGCTCTGCACAGACTCGCCACTTGGGTTTGCATCAGTCCCAGACTGTGCGTGGCTCTTTGTGATGTCAGTGCCCGGCACTGACACTTCGTGTGTGATCGCAGCAGTTCCAGCCTGTGCGTGAAGCTTCTCACTTGTGTGTGCAACAGGCCCGGCCTGTGCGTGAGTCTTCGCGGTGTATGTACAGACACGTTGTCCTTGATCGAAGCAGGTGTCGCCTGCTCGTGATTCTTCACATTGGCAGCGCCCGACACTGACACGTTGCCGTGTCGTGAGCGGGCTCTCACTCTCACACGTGTCATCACAGCTGATAGATCCGTATCAGCTGTATTCTGCGGTTGTTCGAGCGCAACCGTAGATCCTTCCCCACTTAAGGAGGAAGCCACCGCCCCGAGCGTTCACGAAGAACGATGTATGCCCTGTCAAGGCATGCACAGCGTTATTGATGGCGAACTCGGCCATCGGCAAGTAATCGCTCCAGTTGTGGAACGACTGAGCGTACCTCTTCAACAAGGCTACGAGCAGGTTCCCGCGCTCGGTTTGCTCGTCCGTCTGTGGATGGTCCGCAGTTGACATGGGGAACTGCGGTCCACGAAGTGTGAACACTTCTTGCCAGAAACGCGCCGTAAAGCGCGGATCGCGGTCCGACACAATGTCGCTGGGCATGCCATGGTGTTTGGACACCGTGTCGACGAACAGACGTGCCGTCTGTACGGAGGTCACCTCCGCTGCGACAGCAACGAGAAGCACCATCTTGCTGAAGCGGTCAACAAAGACCACAATACCAGTCTTCCGTCTGGAATCGCGCGGAAGGGTAAACACGAAGTCCATCGAAACGGGCTCCCAACACTCAGACGGAGTCAGCAGTGGTTGCAGATGAGCCTGCGAGTGAGGTGCAGGCTTCACTCGCTGACAAACATCGCAAGTACGTACGTACTTGCGCACCCACTTGTACTGGTGGTTCCAGTACAAGTCTTTGAAGAGAAAACGTCTCCTCACGTCCCGGATGTCCTGTCGTGGAGACATCATGATACGCGTACAAGATCAGCATCAATCGGTACTGCCATGTGGTCCGCACTGTCGTCTACAACGCTGTAAAACAGTAGACCGTCGTGCACTCGGTACTGGTGTGCACCCGCTCGTAGACGAGGGACCAACTTCCGACGTGCTTTGTCGGAAGGAACTTAGAGAACCTATATCAACTGCTTTGCGTCTGCGTCATGTGCATGACGACGGTGTATATGTCCGAGCGACGTCAATCCGGTTGACGTCGCCTGTCTTGACAGCATAATCCGGTCGTCGAGAAAACGCGTCCGCGACAACATTCAACCTTCCGGGTTTGTACTCGATCCGGAAGTTGTACTCCGCGAAGAACCATCTCGCCATTCGTTACGAGATGTGCGGAGACTTCACAGCCGTCCGCAACGCCGCGTGGTCCGTATAGTCCACGAACGGCGTGTTGTCGAGTAAGTACACTCGGAACTTCGCGAGTGCGTACTTCATGACAAGGAGTTCCTTGTCATGTACCGGATAGTTTCGCTCAGCTGGCTTTAGCTGATGCGACGGTTCGTAGACGACTCGATCACGACTCTCGTAATCGAGTTGCATTACCGCACATCTGATCGCAAAATCGGATGCGTCACACACTACGTGAAATGAACGATCTTGGTCGGCCACGGTCAAGTTCGGTGCTTCAGTCAAGCCCAGCTTGACTGCATCGAACGCCTGCTGACACCCAGCAGTCTAGTCCCGCGCACCTTCCTTCTTCGGAAGCTGCGAAAGCGTCGAATCTTGCCTAGGTAGTTGTCCATGTACTTGCAGAAGTACGTGGCATGGCCATTAAACTGCCGCAGTTCCTTCACGTTGGACGGTGTAGGCCATTCATTGATCACTCTGACCTTCTCGGGGTCAGGGCGTACGCCATTCTTCCCGACGAGTCACCCTATCACGGGTATCTCGCTCGCACCGAAGATGCACTTCTTCAGGTTCGCATTGATCTTGTGCTTGTGCCTGAGCCCAAGCTGTTTCCGGAGATGCTCCTGGTGCATCTCGACGTCCGTCTTCCCGTTCACAGACGGACTTTTTATATACACAGCGTCGAAATAGCTCGGTTCGAAGTCGCGCATCTATTGAAGGTCGCAGGGGCGTTCTTCAGTCCTTGCGGCATAACTAGCAACTCCCAAAGCATACCTCTTGGAGTGCTTACCGCCGTAAGCGGGATATCGCTCTCACGCATCAGGAGCTGATAGAATCCGTCTCTCAGATCAAGAGCAATGTAGATGGTGCTCTTGGACATCGCATCGAAGATGACATCTTTTCGAGATATCGGCGTCTGTGTCGGTATCGTCGCATCCTTCAGCTTATTGTACGAGTGAACGATGCGCCAACCACCCTGTGGTTTCTTGACACAGACCGTTGGTGGCCGGTGCGGGGACTTTGATTCCCGCACTTGTCTTGATTTGCGACGACTTTCGAAGAAGTCGGCGATCGCCTTCACTTGCTCCCGCGGCAGTGGCCACTGCCGCGTCACGCAATACTTCCTCCCCGGCACGAGATCAATCTCGTGCTGTATTCCCTTGTCCTGCGAAGCTCCGCAGTGATCTCATCCGGGAGTACACCTCTGTGCTCTCGCAGAATCTCGTAATAGGGACTCGACTTCAGTGAGTCCCAACTCTGTTTCTCGAAGCGTTCCTTCTTCGTCTTGGCACTGAGAGTATTTTCACTCTCAGTGGAGCTTCCAGCGAAGGGTTGTCTCACCTCCTCTGATTCGCTTGTCATTCTTTCGCGGTCCGAAAGAATGCATAGCTGTTCGATGCGTCCATCGTACAGGTCCTTTGCGAAGCGCTTCCAGCTCATGACTAGAAGCGAGGTCAACTCCGACGTATCAATCGGAAGGTTCTTCAACTCCATCTTCTTGTAATGGTACCCTGCACAGGCTCGCGTCAAGACGTTCAACGTCTCGACGGCCACTGTCGGCTTTTGTGTCTGCCCGGCAGACATACCATGAGGAGTCTCGGTCCCGGACCGAGACTTGTGTAGCGTCTTGTGCTCGACTTGCGCAGCGTGTTATGCTTGCGCCGTCGCTTCTTCTTGTGAATCCCGGATTCACTTGCGTTTCGTCCAGGCCCGGCCATGGACGAATGTTTGTTGATACCACCGGCAGACATTCCAGTCTGCGGGCGATCGACAGCGGGTTCTTGTACCCGCTGGCACGCGTCATCAAGCCCGGCTTGATCGCATCCCCGTTCGTGCAGTCCGGCTGCACGACAGCACGCAAGCTTCAATGGGGGGCGTTTGCAACCGTCCACACAGCTTGTCGCATCGACTCCAGGAGTCGATGCATTGTCGTCACGTCTACGCCTTACGGCGGAGCAGTGTGTCGCAACTCCCGGAGTTGACACACCGTTGTCACCTCGACGTCTCACCGCGGAGTACCCTCTCGATTTCGATATCGAGTGCGTGTCAACACCCGGAGTCGACACGCTGTTGTCACCTCGACGCCTCACGGCGGAGAATTCCTTGGAAGTGTCTGGTCCCTGAGCAAACACTCCTTTTCTGTCAACGACTCCAGGAGTCGTTACAGGCCGCACGCTCCACGCCCTACGACCGGAGACAGCGGCGCGAGCCACGAGGTTTGGCATGTCATCTTGTACTTCGCAGTGAGATTCCCTCTCACTTCAGCCTGTCTCAGGCTAAACTCCTCTTGCATTGCGGGGTAATCGCAGCTTCGAGGGTACTCGGTACTCTCGGACGAGATAGGTCTTCACAGGCCAATCCATCAACCCTTCAGGAACGTGACGACCTTGGTCGCCTCGTCCATCGGGTCGGTCACGACGTTCGCGACCAAGAACCGATCCCGTTGGGCGTAAGCATGTACATCATGCTTACCCTGTTGCAGGTCGAGAAACTCCGCTCTCGACCGGAACTCTTTCTGTGGGGGCTCAAACGCGAGTTTGAGCTCCTCCGTGCTGAAGCACGAAGGATCCATGAGTCGGTGCCCGTAGACCCAACTCCTCGCACGTCCGCCAAGACAAGACATGGCGAAGGTGACTTTCGCCAATGGGTCGATGAGACGTCGAGCCATTACGGCAGGGTCAAGTTCGACAAGCCAGCCGAGAAGGGTTTCGCCTTCTCTGCCCATGTAGTTACTGACACGTAACTTCAGGTATTCCTTCCGCGGTGTCTCCCCCGGAGACACTGGCTTCGCGGTAGCAACCTCGTGTTGCTCTATCATGATGAACCCCAGAGCAACACCATGTTGCTCTGTCGGCGATAGTGTGCGCAGCATTGTCGCTACGGCCGCCTGTTGAAAGTCGTTGGAGTGCCTCACACACTGGGTCCGCCAGATAGGGGTACTCCGTAAGCGCCAAATGCGTAACAGACGTGCTCGGTCTTCCGACAGACGACCCGTCCATCGGAAGATGATCTTGCCCGTGTTCGTAATGCCACGAAGTGATTTGGAATTCTCATGGAAGGATCTGTATGGATACAGGAATTAGGTAATAGAAACAGGATTACCAAGTGTGTATGTGTGGAAAGAAAAGTGACTGTGGGATGTGTGACAAGCGATTGACTTGGAGAAGAGCTAAGTATGGGCCTTAGAGTCTGGAAGCACTGTGAAGCTCAGTCTAGACTCGCCCTTCCTCATCCTGACTCCGGGTAATAATGATTGTGGAAAGTGTTGGTGCAAACGTATTGTACCAAACACCCCGTATTGCCTTAGTTCAACCTAGACAACGTCATTCCCAAGCTCAAGAACATTACCACCGAAGACTATTTGCGCACAAGACTCACGATCCAAGAAGAGATGGATAGCAGATGGAGTTACAATATGTTCTACAAGCAGTGTGGAACATTATACCCCAGCGTCCGACCAAATATCCCAGAATCCCGTGATTAATTCCCGAATCCCGACTGATAACTCCTGAATCCCGGAGGAAATCCCTGAATCCAGACGCCAAAGTGTCTAGAATCAAGGATATCTACGTTTGTATGAAGACATTACGCTATGGATTCAGTAATTCTACGATGAAACAAGACAAGACCCAGAGATTCAAGTATATTCCGATGGATTACATATCACGATAGGTTATGGAGTCCCTCCTGGAGTCAGAGACCTGATTCGAAGTGTAACGCGATCAAGTGGTGACAAGTCAGTGTGAAGTGAGGTGATGGGCCTCATTTCTGATATGTTACGTGAATGCATAATGAAACCTAGTGTGTGAAGTTCAACCATGATGAGTGTACTTATGTATACTAAAACCGAGATATTTACCTCGGATCCAAAACGATCAAGTGAAATATGGAAAATAGGATACCAAGAGAAATATTTAGCAGCATAAGAAAAGATAATCAGAGAGCTTTTTACCTTGTGAAGCACAAGTGGTTTCGTGAGGCGCGCAGGACACCTGCCAAGGGTGCCGCGTGAGGATCTCCAGCTGTACTAAGTCCAAGTTGCGGTGGGGATCAGACACGACAGAGTTGATCCAAGGCTTTCCATATCCCAATTGGGCCTGCTGTAAGTGAACGGTAAAGGTAGGTACCCATTTCATGCTAACGATTGCTCTCTAAGGGTCCGTAGTCCCCCTAGAGTTTGTATTAGACTGCGGAATCAGGAATTGTGACTCCCGGAACTCCGACATTAGCTTCATCGATGTTACATTCTGGGGTCAGTTCCTCGATTTCCGGGAGCCTGATAAATTGGTCTCGTAACTGCACCATCAAATCGCTTCCTTCCCTGAGATATACAGCAGGTTCTAAGTCCAGTTCTTCGGCGGAGACTCGCATCACCCGAGCATATTCTGCCTCCAGCCTTTGGACCGGTGTCGAACAGCTCGTCCGTGACTGAACATCCACTGGCGGTTCAGGGACCTCAGCATTATTCCCAGCATCAGCAACACTCTCTGGGTCCAGGGTCTTAACTTCTGGACTCAAGTCGGAATGGGTCTGTGCCATCGACTCAGGGCGGGTCTCAGTTTCTTCAGGGTCTCTCGCGACCGTGTTCATGACGACCGTCGAGTTCTCAATCATCTTGAGTGTCATATCCAACGGTTTCGGCTTCTCTTGCAACTTCACCATCTTCACTTCAGCGGTTTGGGGCTATGGACGCATTAAGAGCTTCGTAGGCCACTGGTATCTCTGGGTCTGTGTGCACGGAGGCTCCATCTCCCTCAGAATCTTCTCCAATCGTTCAGCACGCATTCTTGCCTGGTATTACACGGTACACTCATGGATTAGTTGTTGCCATTATTCATACCGCGCATTCCCAGGACGAACGAATCCGGGTTGTCCTGGGAACTGTCCATACTACATAATACGCGCAACAGCGGTCCTGGTGTCGACCCACACATTCTGATCTGAAACATTAACAATCTTGACGGCAGTCGCCCAGGATCTGGCAGAATACAGGACTTCGGTCACCCAGTTTTTGCCTCTTCCGGCCCATACCAACTCATGTTGAGGGTTGGACTGACCATACCGGATTCGCACAATAGCGTCCTGACCAGGACGCAGGTGTATACTTTCCTCTTGGTACACGGGGAGATCCATACCACGGGACTTGGGATAATTATCATACATAACCACAGTTTCGTCGTCTGGCAGCCTGACTCAGCATTCTCGTATACAGAGTCGGACATCTGCCAAATGCATAAAGTTCATGCCTAGCAGGACATCAACACCTTCTCTAATAATTCCAACCCAGATGTTCAGGACGTACACCACGCAGTGATCTAAGTAGTCACTCCTCCTAAACCAGAAACTTTGATTTGACGGTGTGTCTGGAGCTTGAGCTTGAGTCTACGTGCTAGATCAAGCCTCATAATGCTCAAGGACGCACCAGTGTCCAATAAAATTCTGGTTCTGGAGTCATTCACAGCTCCATGTATCGTCGCCAAACCATGCATGTCTTCATTTTCATGATCTTCCCACCATCTGTACCTCTGACCCGGTTTCAATGGCACTTCCAAAGGATTCTGAGATAC